GTTTTATATGGATAGGGAGGCTATAAACCCAGGGGAGGATATAGTTTTCCTTCCTTTTCACCAAGATATACGATTCGAATGAGATGATCATATTGAATGAAAAGCTTGAAACTACATGTTAGAATGACAGCATGTAATGATTTATATTATAATGGAAACCTTAAGGTTAGAGCCCATGCACGGTGCAAGTCCAAGAAAATATCTTGGCTCTATGTGTGCCTCACACCCATATACTGTAACTTACTAAAAATTATTATATTATCTTTGTTGAACTTGCGTTGGCACCAGTCCGGTTAATGATTACATATCATGCATCTATTTTCGTTATACAGTAAATCGAAGACAAGTACGTGTTTTTAAAATAGATTATGCTTGTCTTATTTTAGGTGAACATAAACAAAAACTATTAAAAGTTGCTATTTATAGGCTTAAGCCTTCTGTAACTATTTGACAAATTTACGGCATGTCCTGAACACAAAATTATTGAGGGAGCATTATTTGAGGGGGTTGATAAAGTTCATCCTTCTTGGTTGGCTTCATAGTCGAGTTCGATATCCTTGTGGATGAAGAGAAGTAGAAGTGCATTCAATCTGGTCTCTCCCATCATGCTGCGATACGCAGACTTGATGAAGCGAAGAGAGGAGTTGCTACGCTCTACTCCAGCACTTGTCACCGGCGTTACCCCTATGAGTTTTAAAATCTGGTGTATATTGGGGTACATATTTCTGCTACATGTTTTCATAGTGGCGGATAGTGTAGATGGTTTATTTGGTTCATCACTCCTGTTTTGATTTGACAAAAAAAAAGCAATTTGTAAATATGTTTAAATATGATGTGAATGCTCGTGGTTAATAAGTTGTTATTCATAATCTGAGTGAAACGAAAAGAAGAAAAAAACAATGGATAATCACTACATACACATACCATTATCAGAAACTTACCACAGTGGTTTCCAGAGTTTAATTTCATGTGGCAGTGTGCGTGGAGAAGGAAGATCCGGGTAAAAGCACTTTACTAGCTCATCACTGTCATCAAGTTTCACCAAATTGGATGGTATTAGAGTTAGCGCTTTGAGGGCTTCTGAAGATATACCTTTAAATCGGTCATTCATTCCTTCTATTAGTCCATCCACGAATGGCAGAAACATTGCCCGACGAAAATATGTTTGTGGTCCCTTAGCCTTAAAATTGGTCCTGAAGGTCTGTCTTGCACATCTCTGTGGAATCTTCAATTCCACATCAGCTATTTTGGCCATACCTTTGATTTTGTTGTAAATTTCTGTGAATGATGTTTTGCCATTATATCTAGTGTACCTCAATTCACTCACTACAAGACTTATTTGGCTATAAGCTTAATAACGTCTACTGTACTTCCTTGGACAGATTTACTAATGCATTTGGCAGTGCCGGATTAACCATAGGCAAATAAGGCACAAGCCTTATGGGCCAGGCAAAAATGATGGGCCATCAAAAGTTGGACTGCAATATTATTTACACTCTATTTTCCGGTATTATTAGGCCAGAAAACTCGGAGACATTCTACTGTCCATTCAATTAACATTTTTGGGCCATTTCCAAAATGTGCCTTGAGGCCAGACGATGCTTAATCCGGCACTGGCATTTGGTATAGCCAAAGAGGTGTAGAGCCGTTTGGAATGCAACGATAAATCTGTGTCTCTTATACACATCTAGATGTGTATAAGAGACAGCCTTCTGGCACCCTGCCATATTCCCAGCACCATCGTAAGTTTGCGCCCTGCACATTCCCCGATCTAGTCCTAAGGTCCTTAAGGAGGCGACCAATTTGTCACCTATGGCTTTCCCGGTACATTCTTCACAATCCATGAACTCGATAAACCTTTCAACGGGCTTTCCTCCTGTTATGTATCGTATAACAAGTCCAAGTTGTTCCCAGTTTGACGAGTCTGTGACCTCGTCGGCTTCAATTCCGAAGTATCCGCTTCTGTTCTTTATTTCGGTTGTTATTATATTTATATTCCTTTATGCATGTCAAAAGCTTATTCTGGGCTGTTTTAGATATGTACGTGGCATTCCTTGAGCAACTTTCAACATGGTCTTTAAGACTGGTGTCTCCAGCATCGACTCGGAACCGTAAAAGTGCCTTGAAATTCCCGATTATAGTCCTTCGTAGATGTATCATCTCTGTGTCCTCTTAAGCTTATACCTTGTCGCCCACACATCTTCAAAGATTTAATAATTGAAATCAAAAATTTTTAGCACCTGCCTTTCATTTTGTAATGCAAGGCGATTTTCGATGATGAGCGAAGGTGTTTCCATGGTGAGTGTAAAATTTCTCATAAGATATTCAGAATTTCGGTGATACTAGAGATTTGCGTGGGTAGGTATGTCTGACTGGGCATCTTTCCAGTTATAGAAAGGATTTGTGATTTTCCTCGACCAGCAGCTACCGGAAAAAGGACACAACAGAGGCAAAAAAGACCATCTGTGGACTTAGAATAACTTAAAATTCATACTTTATTAGCCAATCTCTTGAGCAGTGCCATTGTTTGACGCCTCCCTTTTCGCTTTTATCGTTGTACACTTTAGGAGGAAATTTAAACTCGAGCTCTGGCAAACGGTTCCTTATTAAGTGTATTTTTGCGTCAGACGTTAGGATCACTGGTGCTGATGTGACAGCATCATATATGTCGGTAAATCTGTGAGTGTTGCGATCATCAACAATATTTTCCCCAGGTACTGGTGCTACTTGTACCGTCGCCGTCGGCTTAGTACTCTCGGACTCTCTTACACTCTCATCGCTTTCAGTGGTGCGTGTTATTTATTTTTTTATGACATTTCAAAAGGGGGGGGCGGGGCTGGGCCGGCCCTTCCCCCCAATCAGCCCCTGGTTAAGATGCTTTCTTTCTAACCCGGTTCTGTGACACTAGGATATTTCCTTATTACAAAACTTATACCTTCACTCTGAGCCCTGTAATAAACATAAAAAAACAAATTTCTTTATTTATTTTTTATTTTTTTGCAGTTATCGTTTAAGCAGTCATCGTACAGTAAAGTCGGGTCTAGGGGCTATGTGCAGTGGCAGCTCTAGTATATATTTTCTGGGGGGGGGGCTAAGTTGTCTGACAGCGGGACTTGAGCTCGTACGCTCGAGCTGGGGGAATGGGTTGAGAGGGGGGTTCTCCCTCTCAAATGAGATTTTTTTAAAGAATAGCAACCTCTCGATGCCGGAAATGGCACCAAAACTTGATAAATTTTTATGTTTATTCTTCCAAAATAGGTAAGAATTCTTAAATCCTAATATTTTCACTCCAGTGGCCCAGGCACTTACATGGCACTGTCCCCTCTCAGCGCTACTACATGTTATACAAATGCAATACACAGCAATTTTTTGAATTTGGTGCAAATGATATAGTTAGTACCTTTATTGAGAGTGTTTTAATTAACCTTTTCCTTTATTTGTTGGTTTCATAGTCTTACAGTTAAAGAAAAAAATTAATTACATAAAATTGATTAATTCTGTAGTTAAAAATTAATAAGTGGTCAATTTAATATGTAGTTTATCTTATTTTTTGACAAGCAAATTTTTGGGAAAATAAAAGAATTTTGCAAAAGTGTAACTCATGCTATGTTCAGTGAGTTCGAGCTTTTGCCTCATTGTCGCCTTTTGTGATGTCCTAACCGAAAGAGAAATTTGTTTGTGCCAGTGGCCACTTGACTTTTAAACAATAACCAATTAAAATTGTGAGTGATTTGATTGTATTTTATGTTGTAATGTATTTTAATGTTTTTTAAGGTTTGTGATCCAGATCCTTTCTTGAGTTGCCCCATGTGGGATGAATAAAGATGTATTGTATTGTATTGTATACATTTTATATTTTATTATTATTTATCATGGATGATCTAGTTATTGCAACATAATGTCAAAATACATGTTGTTATCTATCTTTATTATGGATGTGACATACTTTTTGTTGGCTCATGAAAGTAAACCATGATGTCATCATTTCACCTTCAACATAATTTTTAGTTCCTATGCATGTAATGCAATAGGAACTATTGTAATCACGCTTGCTATTTCCTATGTTTTTTTTTAAGGTTTGTGATCCAGATCCTTTCTTGAGTTGCCCCATGTGGGATGAATAAAGATGTATTGTATTGTATACATTTTATATTTTATTATTATTTATCATGGATGATCTAGTTATTGCAACATAATGTCAAAATACATGTTGTTATCTATCTTTATTATGGATGTGACATACTTTTTGTTGGCTCATGAAAGTAAACCATGATGTCATCATTTCACCTTCAACATAATTTTTCTTATTTTTGTTATTGAACACTATGCCACAGTTTATTGCTTGTCTGTACTCTATTATATAGTGGCAATTTGGCGCAGCGGTTGAGGTTGGGACTTTCAATCGTAAGGTCGGGGTTTGGAGTCTCCGCTGTGCAGATTCACTTGTGTCCTTGGGTAATGCTACATTGCTTCAGTCCACCCAGCTGTATCAATGGGTACCCCAGCAAACTGCTGGGGACTAACCTGCGACGGACTAGTGTCCCGTCCAGATCCGCTCAACACTACGTAAACTGGGGATAAGCTCCAGCCCATTGAGCCCCTAGTGGCTCGGAAATGATTTAGTTTTTAGCTCTATTATTGTCCATTGACTACCATGTGCTACATTACCTAATTTTTACTTTCTTTTGACAAGGAAAAATTTCCAATTACCTGAAACAGCATTTATAAGTGAGAAAGAAAAAACAAACAAATCTCTTAGTTTCTATTGGCATGCAAAATGGTATAAATTAAGGTAAAATAAGATATACTATAATTTAATTTAATTTTTTAAAAATTCTTGGTCCTACCTTTTTTCGGCGCCTTGAGACGATTTTATTGTGGAAGGCGCACTACAAATATCCCACCATTACCATTACCATAAAATAGGTTTGGCACATTAATTTCTAGAAATTCTACTAGTTTGAACGTCAGTAGGCCTGCCAAAAAGAGGTCATTACAGAATGCGTGTGAATGTACTTAATGGTGAATATGAATTTAGAAGTTTGAAAATCATTTTAATGAAGTTTGCTTTCAAGAATTTATTCAGGCAACAACTCCTTTTTTCTGGTCAATATTTTCAAAAAATCAAAAGGTCCACTGATTAGTTTTAGATGTACACACACAGTATAATGTATTAATCACTGAGCAGCCGATCACTGCAACCAGCAGTTTGTTATGATTATAGCAACCACTCTACAACTAGCAGTTTGAATAAAAGAGCCATAGAAAAGGTGACAACGACTGACTTATAAAGCAATTGTACAAACTATACAAAATAAAAGTCCTTTGGAGCCATTATTTACAGTACTTAACAATTTTTTAAAATTTATTTATTTTATTTTATTCCTTCAGGCCAAGGATTACCAATAGCGACTGAATCACTGTCCTATTAGATAGGTGGCAATCATTTCACATGACAAACATGAACACATGATGCTTTACATAGACCAGTGTCATTGAGGCTTATGGAGTGGAGTTGTTTTGGTCGTGAGAAAAAAATTCTGTTACCATGACAGCATTAATTAGAAAGCAAGCATCTTAACCTCCAAGCTATTCAACTCCACTCCTACAAAAATTGCCTTTAAGCCCTGCAGGCTTCGTGCAATTTCAATTTTTTCAGTAAATAATGGTTCTTTAAAAAAATATTGCAAAGTACAGTTGAGGTAGTAATCTGAATGAGAACATTGTGAAAAGTGTATAGCAATAGGAATACTGTGTTATATTGGGGGAGCACTTATTATATTTGGGATGATTCAAAAGATGATGTAATTCTTGACCAATATGAATTAAGGATGACTACATGATGTCATTGTTTTAGTTAATAACAGAACTGATTTTTTTAAGACAGAAAAAAGTAGTTTTGGTTCCTGCACAATTACTGTTTTTGTCCATGGTAAGTTTTGCTCATTTATGCAACCATTTGTAATATTTATATTCAGTAGAAACCCCTATTCAAAGGACAATTTTTTGTGAAATGAAGTATATCTTTTAACACTATGGACAAATCCCCCATCCCCACCCCATTAGGGCAATGGGGACACTATTTGAAATAATTAAAAAGGACACTATTGTTGTCTTTTTTGTCCAGCTTTAAGCTGGGCACATGCTGCACCATACAGTTGTTGTATGGCTGTTGGCAGGTGAATCCATGTCCAATCTCTGTGAGCGCTTCATACATCTGCTGATAGTTAATGGCAGTCTGAGTAGATCATCATTAAAAACTTTGTGCACATTTCATTCTGTTTTTTTCTCTGTGGAATTGTGTTTGCCGACAACTGTCAGACGCAGTGTGTACCCGTCTTGTATATTTATATTTTAGGCCGACTCAGTGTGGTTATTCGTATAAACTAACCTCGAAATTTAACCCTTCACATTATGGGATTTTTTAATTTTAATGGTAGGCCTATTGTTCATACCATATCAATATAATTCATTATATTTAATCTATTCATGCTGCTGTAGTTATTACTAATAAATAAATATTAATGTAAATTAAAAATTCAATTTTAATTCAATTCAGTTCAATTAAATAGTGATTTAAAGGGTTTTAAACATTGATTATTATTATTACATATTTTAATGTATAAAAAGAAACATTAAAATAAATTTTTATTTTTTTTTTGTATGATCTTGTTTGTTTTTTCATGTTCTAGATTTTGAGATTCCCAATGTAACATGCCCTGATGATATTTCCATGAGTACATCCTCAAGTCAAGTTACAGTGACCTGGAATAACCCAACAGTCACCGACAATGTTGATACTGGTCTATCAGCTTCTTGTACTCCATCTTCTGGTTCCTTATTTGTTCTTGGTTCAAATGATGTCACTTGTGGTGCTACTGATGCTGCTGGTAGGACAGGTAGCTGTATGTTTACAGTTGATATCATTGGTAAGTCTCCAAGGCCATGTTTCTGCAGTATAATTTCTCCAATAAATTATCTGAAAATTCTCTCCAAATATTTTATCACATCATCAGGGTTGTAGCTAGAAAACTAAGAAAGGGTGATAAACATTTTAAGGATGGGTGGGTGGTAACATTGAGTAAACTAAAAATAATAAGATTGGATTTTAAGAATGGAAAAGTGGTTTAATAAGGGTGGGTTGAGAACCAAGAAATTAGCTTTAGACTGGGTGGAAAACTTCAAGGCTGGGTGGCCCCCTGCCCACCTCCGCCCACCAAAACTACATCCCTGCATCATGCAAAATTATGGACATTATTGTAATGTATTCAACATCAAAACATCTTTATATTCAATAAGCACAAAAAAAGTTTATCAGAAACTTTGGGCCCCGTTTCTGCAGCGAAAAATAACAAAATGGCTGCTTTCCGATAATTTATCGGGTAGTAATTGCTGCAGAAACACAGCCTTAGTGTTGCTTTGTTTTAAGTACATTTATCAATGGGTTGTTTTTAAATAGTATTAATTTTTATCACATTACTAAAAAAAATACTCACTTTTGAGACAAGTGATAAGAGGAGTATACAAGGAAAAAATATGCTAGGACACAGTGCGCAATCTACAAAAGATTTTTTTTTTTTAATTTTTAAGTCTCCTTTACAAAAATAGAGAGGTTAAAACTTTTGTTGGTGCAACTTCACCAATTTGTACCTGTACAACCTGAAATATAGCCCATATTATTTGCCCAGGACCAAACAACTCAATTACAAAATAAATGCTCTTTGCACAAGCTTCTAAAATTATAGTATCCTGACCCATGGATTAATACTGGCAGTCTGCATTGTAAACCTGGTCAAGATAATGAAGCAAACTCAGACAAAGACATCGTTCAACTGTCACACCCAGCATTTTTAATATTTGGATGCTAGAGAATGTTAACTTTTACATAGTTACATCCTGCAAATGACCTTAGGGTCCATAACCACAGGATAACAGGTTGTATGGATCAGTACCCCTACTCGTCTTGAAAATTGTACTGAATTCTTTAAAAGTGCACATGAGCCAATTGTGTACAATGGGCCTGCTATTGGCGTGTATTTCAATACACCTTTCGGGCCTACTATTTATACTGTAGTTTTTATCTGAGAAATCTGACACCAGCGCTGACGTTGATTGCAGGAGCGCCACAATCTACAGCCATAATATCAGTGCTGGTTCAAACAGCACGCTCGTCTAGCTATAGATTGCCTCTCTTAGACCATGGAGGAAATAATTATTCCTCCATGCTTAGACTGGTATTTAGTGAGAGGAGCCAAACTGTACTGTGTACTGTAATGAACATTTAATCACTACTTTTTTTATGATGAGTAGAATTAGTAAACATTTTTCTGATGGTGATGTAATCATAAAACACATTACCTTTTTCTGTTGATAGATTTAAAGGCAATTCAATGACATATTTTTCACTGACAATATTGATACCAACCTATTAGTTAATTATAACCCACCTTCTGGCTCTTCATTTGATGTTGGTGAAAATAATGTTACATGTTTAGCAACTGATAGTGCTAAGAATGAAGGAAGTTGTATGTTTCTTATTGAAGGTACAGTTTTGTCATGTATTGTGTTGCTTGTGATTTAATATTAACAATGTCAGTGGTAGCTACTACAAATTTGATAAATCAATGTCAATATGTTTATTATTATTATTATTATTATTATTATTATTATTATTATTATTATTATTATTATTATTATTATGTTACTAAAACCTACCTTAAAGGGAACTTAGACAATAAAGAAATTAGAGAACAATTTAAAAAAAATGACGTTGAGGGGAAAATAACATGGCGTTGAGGGGGAAAATTAAACAAAAGAAATTCCCCTTAAGTCTGATGTGCTTATTATTATTATTATTATTATTATTATTATTATTATTATTATTATGTTACTAAACCTACCTTAAGGGGTACTTAGACAATAAAGAAATTAGAGAACAATTAAAAAAAACGACATTGAGAGGAAAATAAAGTAAATGGCATTTGTTATTTTTGATTGTCAACTGTTATCAACCAGTCTAGGATTGTTTCTGTAATAAAAATGGTTTCCACCTTTGTCTAAATTCTGTACCAATATAAAATATTAAATTAGGAATTAATTGAGACACATTTCCATACCTTTTGTCTCAAGATGGTCACTATTATTTGTTTTAGCATACTGTATTTTTTCTAGATGCCATATAGTGCTAAACTGTGAGTATAATAACAATATGGTAGTGATTACATAAATATACTTTATCTTTTATGCTATAAATGTAAACGTTTTTTTTTTTTCACTACAGTGCCTGCACCTGAAGAACCAGTTGTGACCTGTATTGGTGGTGTTAGTGCACCTACATCTCCAGGCCAAGCAACAGGAACTGTATTTTGGAGTGAGCCAGCAGTAACTGATGATATTGACACTGGCTTGACAGCTACTTGTACTCCACCTTCTGGTTCATCATTTCCTGTTGGTACCAATACTGTTATGTGTACCGCAACTGACAGTGATGGCAATGTTGGTTCCTGCACAATTACTGTTTTTGTCCGTGGTAAATTTTGCTCATTTATGAAACCATTTGTAATATTTAGATAGAGTAGAACCCCTATTCAAAGGACACTTTTTCGTGAAATGAAGTATATCTTTTAACACTATGGCCAAACCCCCCCTTGCCCACCCCATTAGGGCAATGGGGACACTTTTTGAAATGATTAAATAATCTTATTTTCAACCCTTGAATAAAAAGGGACAATATTGTTGTCTTAAGCTGGGCACTTGCTGCGCCATACAAGTTGTATGGCTGTTGGCAGGTGAATCCATGTCCACTCTCTGTGAGCATTTCATTCATCAGCTGATAGTTGGTGGTAGTCTGAGTAGATCATCATTAAAAACTTTGCGCACATTTCATTCTATTTTGTTCTCTGTGGAATCGTGTTTGCCGACAACCGTCAGACGCAGTGTGTACCCGTTTTGTATATTTATATTATAGGTCCACTGAGTGTGGTTATTCGTATAAACTAATCTTCTTAATTTTAACACT